TTAAATGGTTTTCAATGCATTCCTATGGGAAATGCAGATTCAACATAAGAACTTTTCAACTTGAGAACCACCTTCCAATACGGATTAAGTTCTTAAGTAGAGACCCCACTGTAGTGAATTCTTCTGGAAGTCTGAGTCCAAAAACACCTAGATACCCAAGGTTGGGAACCACTGACCTAGAAAGAAGAGTCCATGTCCTACATAATAATTATCATCAAGCCAGGCAAACGGCCAGAATTCTCTTTCACACTGCTGCTCAAACACTGTCACAGTTGAGGTCTGACATCACATTGCCCTTTAAAAAGAGTGAGAATACTTATGGTGAAAACACACAACCTTGTTTACGTTGGTGACTACAAAAATCATGTGTCTTACCACTGATCAATAGTTTACATGGATACAATGCCTTGTGACCATTATTTTAAACAACAATAATAACTAGTGCTTGTAAACCAAAAAGAGTTTTATTAAAAAAAGGCACAAAGGAATAAAAAAGTTAAATGAACAGGTAAAAATGGTAGTATATAAAAATTATGTGTCAAGCTATCAGGTTCTTTACCACAAAGCTCTTATTTGCAGTAGAGGAGGAGCCTTGTGGCACAGTGGTTAAACTGCTGTACTGCAGCCCAAACTCTGCTCACGACTCAGGATTCAATCCCAGGTAGCCGACTCAAGGTTGACTCAGCCTTCTATCCAGTAGGGTAGTACCCAGCTCACTGGAGGGCAAGGTGTAGCCTGCATAATTAACTTGTAAACTGCCCAGAGAGTGCTTTAAGTGCTATAAGGCAACATATAAGCACACTTTTTTTCTTTTATAACATAAAACACTGCCAGTTCTCTATATAGAAAGACTGAAAAATAGCCACTTGCTAATGGCACACATTCATAGGCTCTTGCCAGAGCAGTGCCTATCTTAAACTTCCAGCTAATTCACAGTTCTGCCTTTAGGGCCTACCCAGACAGGGGGATTTGGAGTAGGTTTTTAGAACTTAAGAGGTTCTTATCTTCAGTGCAATCTATTTTATCTCTCACTTGAGTGCTCTTTCTGTTCACATTATAGGTTATTCTTCTCCTTTGAGAAGGGTCCACACAAGTCATTGGATGGCCAGTTTATCCATGGTAAGTGTTCCTGGTTTACTTGTGAGTAAGGGTTACCCATTTACTCACAAATAAGCAGGCAGAAGCAGAGGGCAGTGGAGGCAGGTTAAGCTTGCAGTAGCAGTTCTGGCCCAAGGGGGAAACATTGGGGAGACAGAAGAGAGGTAAGCTCCCATTTCCCCTGCTTTTCTCCTTAGCTGGGGCTCTGCTGCTTTGTGGGGGAGGAGCCCATGGAGTCCACATAACCCTCTTTCCAACAGTTGTCATTCAGCTGGCTGCAGAGGCTTTCTTTTTTTTGAATGAAGCAAGTTGCACATCAAAAGAGCAAAGCATCAACCTAGTATGGTACTAGAACTGTGTTGGATCGTTTATGGAGTTTTTTTTAAAAAAAGGAAGACAAAAATAGAGGAGAAAGTTTCTTTGCTCTCCCTTTTAATGCCACAACCCACTTATTACCTCATAGGGTTGTCACCTCAGATGAAACTGCCCACAGCTCCATTTGAGTGTGAGCTAACCATCCACACAGGCTCCACAATGAATAATTAGCAATGATAGGAATTCGCAAGTCATGACTCTCTATAGAGTCTGACTTAAGTCTCACCAGCAACTAGACTTAGACTCAGCTTGGGGTTTTTTTTTGAGGGGACTTGACAAGCAACTCAGACTCATTTTATCTGAGCTGCATTGTGGAGTCCCTATGGGCCTGCCCCCACCACCTGCCTTTGCTCTAATCATTACATTGCATTGGCTATCAGTGCTAGCTGCTTATTAGGATTTTATGTACAAGACCGGTTGTGATGATGTTAAAGTTCTTTGTCACATAAGCTGCAGCATAAATTTCAGTTGTTTGTCCAGCCTCCAATTACTATGATGGAAACATGTTCCTTGTTTCGACAAGGAAGTGAACTCTGGACCTTTCTGCTTGTAAAAGCGTGCAATATAGTAAGATCACAGACCGTATTCTTTTGAGAGAAGAAAAACATCAAAGGATCTGGTTGGCCATGGTAGATCTTGCCATTGAGAAAGACTATTTTGAACTTGGTGACTACTGACGCCTCTTCTAAGCCCCCAAATTCATCACGGTTACATTTCCATTAGTCATGTACCCATTTCCCCCTGTCAGTTACTCATGACTGTGCATATGCTCTTTAGGTTACAGTTGGTTACATCATGTCTTTCCTGTGGCAGAGCTGGGAGAGGGGTGAGAAAGTCCAGCTGGGGGAAGCAGAAGTAAAGCTATGGAAGCCTGAAAAAGTAACTTTTTTTTACCATTCCCCCAAACACCCCAATCAGTATAACTATTTGTCATGTTGGCTAGGATGTTTTGGGAATGTTTCAAAAACGCTATCGAAAACTGTGCCACAGAGTAAGAATCAGAAATTTTGCAAGAAATATGAATTAGAATGTAAGACATGGGACCACAAAAGGGCCAGCTGAGCACCAGAGTAAGGAAAGGAGAGAACTTCAAGGCAAATCTGCCATAGGGAAACATGCCTATCCTCTAAGACTATGTGGGAAAGGGTTTATACAATCAACAAGCAGCCTGGCTGGTTTGCTCCTGTACTTTTAAGCCTGATTTGTAGAAAGCAGTAGGTAGCAATTTTCATGGAGATTAATAGCAGCATGACCAGGAGATGCAGCTGCAGAAGGTCTCATCGGCTAGTAGGTCTCTAATGATTTGTAGCTCATCAGCAAAGATTTCTACTCAGTTTGCAGGAATGGTCCACAAGCCCTGTGCATGAATGGGAGAGAGAATAAGTGCCCCTTTTCATCCCATGTTTTGAAGCCAACTAGACTTGCAACTGATTATCTCCCCCCCCCCAAACCTTACACACTGGTGATGAACTATGATTTACCTCACCTGACAAAGGAGGAGGCCACTTTAGGAAGTGCAGGTCATTCAGACTGTGTGAATAGTGCTTATTGTGTGGTGCCAGAGTTTAGGACTATAGCCAAAGTGTAAGTCTTGGTGTAATGAAGGGCTATAAAGAAAAACTGAGCAGCTTTCATACTTGAAATGTGCCTGGGAAAGGCACAATCCCAAGACCACTTTTTCAAAAGAAAACAAATCTAGAGATGGATCATCTTTGTTCTCTGGAGAAAAATTTTAAGCACGTAAACTTAAATCTCTGGGCAATGACCTTGTCCTGATAAACTATACAGGCTGCAATGAAAGGCTGCATATCTGTTTAAGATGATCTGGCTCCTGTTCAAGTCTGTTCCTCTAAAGTTGATTTCTGTTTAAAATGCCTCTAAACTGAGAGGCTGGGAACAGTGGGCCTCCCGCCATCTTTTATCTTAGTTTTTGCTGGATGGGATTTCTGGGAGAGGATGTCCAAAATATCTGGAGATCAAACCTGGGTTCCTGGATGGTGTTCCACCACAACTTCCCTGATTACTCGATAAATTCACTGAGGTTTCTGGAACTCAAAGCCTAATAACCTCTAAGATGTAAAGCTTGGGAATCATCACCTTACTACCGTCATCGTGCTGTATTCAAGAGTACTTTTTTTTCCATATTCAGGTGTGAAGCTTGTTTTTCAAGGGCAAAGCCTGGACAGAGGATTTTAGATTATAGTTCACATCCCACCTGAAGAAAACTACTTATGGCAAGTTACAGTTATTCTACTTTATTTTAAAACAGACTATGAAGAATAAAACATATTTTGGCAAAATATACTAAATTTAATAGTTTATATATCTTTGTATAATCTTAAAAGTGAAGGAACTTTATGGATTAACAAGTCTAGCCCCTATCAAGGAGGCACAGTTGGGAATTAACTCTCAGCTTCTAGCTCTGCAGCCGGATGCCTAAAGCACTGAGCTATCCAGCTGTCACAGGAGCAAATATCTGCTCCTTACCTGAGGGCTATTTCAAACAATATACGTACTTTGTAAAATTGTGTACAACAAGTAGATTTTATTTTTTAATTACATTTCTATTCTCCAGTGAGCTCATGTACATTGAGGACCATTGTTTTCTGCTAGTTTATCTCCACAATAATTGTGTAAGATAAGCCTGGCTTATACAGAATGCTGGCCTAAAGTCACCCAGAGAGTTTAATTACATGGTTGGCTGAAGAACTCATTTCTTTTTTGTCCCAAGTGCTCTAACCAAGACATCCCACTGGTAAGATGTGGGTCGTCTCACCTTCCTCACAAACACTGCTACACTCACAGGTCCAAACATACAGACACAGATGTAGCCCTAAAATAAGGCAAGGTATCCTAGTTAGTGAATTTGGGACACCAATGATAACAGTAGCGTAAGGAATGCATCTAACCCACATCACAACTAGCATGTGCCTGAAAGCCTCCCATCCCCCTCTTCTAAATTAACTTAATATCAGTAATTTAATTAATTAATATCATTACTCCAATTAACTAAATATCACTAACTTTTAAAAAAAGGCTGGTGCTATTTGGACTTTCCATTTCAGACTCCAAAATATTTAGGACACCTCACATGTTCGAGACAGTTTAAACGGTTCAGTGGTAGAATAGGGAAGTTACTCTTCATAGCCACAGCTCCGTCCACGCTCACACGCCTTGCAGGACGTTTAGAGAGGAAAAGTTACGTGTCAGAGAGAGATTTTCCTCCAAGTACGTGTGAATCAGGGTGCGAGCCCAGTAGCCAGGCGCAGCGTTACCTCAGGATGGTAATATCCGAGCGCCCTATGCTAGCAGAATGCGAATACTTTGGCTTTACTATCCAGAATTCTCCACAAAAAGCCCTTAATAAAAACGCTTATCTCCTCTTCCCTTATCAACTGACGCCGCCCTCGAACAATTCAGTGCTCTCCCAGAAATTAACAAAAAACACTACCGAATAGGGAATATTGCGCGAGGTAATCCACACGAGGGTCAGTATTCGCCTTTTCTCCAGCTGGGGAGTCACCCCGAGGGGGAGTAGTTTATGTCTGTGTGTCCCTTTCCAGCGGTGGGACGAGGCTGGGGCCAGGGCGGAGCTACCGTTTTCTCCCTCTGAGTTACAGAGAGGCCAGGAAAGTACTGTAATTCAAACGCCACGCCTGCGTTGGGGAAGAGGAGGAGTTGTACCTGGAGATCGGTAGCAGAGCGAGGGTGGAGCCCGTCTTCCTACTTGCCCGAGCCCATGTTGAGCAGGAAGAAATCGCTCAGCAGCCCCTCCTGAGGAACCCGACACGCCTGCCTGCGGCGCGATCCACCAGTGAAGGGGAAGGTGTATTGTAGGGTCGCGTGCGGCCGGAGCTGGAGTTAGAAGGGCTCGGCGCTGCGGCCGTCGGGGAGGGGCGGTTGCGCGTCCATGGCTCCCGACCGGCGGATCGTGCGGCTGCTGCTGCTCACCAAACTCCTACTAGCTCTGGAACTGATCCTACAAGGAGCAGGTAACCGGGAGCCTAATGGCTCCAAACACAGGTTCTGGCAAATCCGATATTAAGGTGAAAGGAAAAAAGGAAGCCCACCGTACTTTTTCCAGAACCGTGTGAAAGTCGGGCGTTTTGGTGGGCGCGTGTGTGAGGTGTGTAGTCTGTGAGTCTAAATTTAAGAATGGAAGTTGATAAAGTGGCCTGCTGGTTCCGCTTCAGGTATGGCTGATAAGCTTCCTCGCTTCTAGTAGCATGTTGGTTGGCGCGCGGAGGGGGCGGGTGGAGCAGAAAAAAGAATATTTGCAGGCAAGTGGTTGGGAAAGGGCTGGTCTTGAAGTACAGAGAAGAAGCTCCTGCTCATTGTTTCCTTTGCGCCCCCCCTCCCCTTTGGAGACGTGATCAGACCACTTCGAGTTACGGTAGCTTGGATCTGGGATTGATCTTGTTTACAGTAGGCTCACTGAGATAAATGGGATAAATAAGTCGTTCCTGAGTTAAAACCCAGGGATTTCACTAGGCGTCTTCTAGGAATAACCTTATCCCATCCGTTGAAACTTTTGGAGTCACAGAAGTAGGCAGCTAAAGGTTAGAGTCTAAGTTGTGCGAATAGATGGATCTTGACCTTCTATTAAATGATGCATCCAGAATCTGAACTGATTGGTTTCTGGTTGTCCTTAAAACCAACGATGTCTTTTCAAAGCATATTACTGTTGTTTTGGGCTAATTTCAGTGCTCCTGCAGATGTAATTATGTTACTTTTCTTGCCTGCCAGGGCAGGGGAATCTGTGGGTCTCCAGATGTGGTAGAGCTCCAGTTCGCGTTGGCTCTAGCCAGCCGGACAATACTGGTGATGGACATAGTGGTTCATGAACATGGGGTGGGCCAAAAGGTTCCCATTCTGTTTTATATTCTTGTTCTGTTATCATCCCTACGAATTATGCCTTCTGCGTAGAGTGGCAGTCTTTTAATGGGAGGCTCTGGCAGCTAGATCCTAGGCAGGTTTACATTGATGTTAATCGTGCTGGATATTTACACGGGGAGGAAAAGCAGTTGCATGTAGAAGGCTCTAGCTACAACTTTGGAAATCTTCAAGACTGTAATATACCTTTCTCTGAAGCTTCACAACTGTTTCTGGACTATGCTGGACTACATAAAAGGCAACTAAGGCACTTTGGATTTGGGGGGGCCTGCAGCTCCCATTGTGGGTCTAGGACTCAGGATGTCCGGGTTCAGATCCCTGCACAGCCATGGAAACTCATGGGAAGCATGTAACTGGTAAAACCATTCCTTAAACATTTCACTTACTTTGCAAACCTTGTTAGGGTCACTATAGGTCAGCTCTGGCTTGATGGCACATGACAGAACAAACAGCTCCCATCAGTCTTAGCCAGCATAGCCAATCATGGGAATTATGGGAGTTGTAGTTTTTTTAAAAAAAAACAGGAGCACAACAGTTGCCTATCCCTGACCTCTGTAAAATAAGCACATAAGAGAAGGTGCTTCGTACATCCACATAAAGGATTAGTTTCCTGGAAAATAGGTTTAAGAGGACTACTGTGGTCCGGTGGCTCACTCTTCTATACACTCCAAGCATTAACTTCCATACTAATTAAAACAGCTTTCTAGTATTATATTTATATTTGTCATTGCCCAAGATGCTTCTTAACTTCACCACCACCACCACCCCCAGGTGCACTGGATACAGCAAAAAATGATAGGCTACCCTGTTATCTCCCAAAAGAACTCACACCTGAAGTTAGATAGACAGTGATAGTTTTAGCCAGTGCTTTTCTGTAAACAGATGTGTATTCTTATCTCAGTCATTGTGATTTTTTTTCAAATGGACAAGATGGGTAGCTTAATCTGAGAGTTGACAATGTCCTCACAGATCCAGAGCAGTCACTGTGGCAGTTTAGGGTATGCTAGGTGGCTGAAAATGGACTTTATTGCCACATATGTTCACTCACATCAATCAGAGACCCTTTTCAGTATCCCGAAGTTGACAGGTTGCTACATGGCAGAGGACTTTAAGTAAGGGTCCCATATAGAAACTTCTCATGGCACTTCAATACCATATGAATCGCACCACCTCTTCTCACATCTCGGTACTCTAAAAACCTTTTTATGTGTAATATGGCAGTTTTTCTTCACTCTGGGATATTTGCTAATACTGTATATTAAAAGTTGTCATGAAGTGCCATTGAAACTGGTCTCTTCTCATGTGATGTTTGAACTCTCATGTTCTGAACAACAAGACAGTTTGAAGACACCTCATGTGTGAAGCAAAGGAGATGTTATTATCTTTCTTGGTATAATTCTTCAACGACTCCTTGGGGGTGATTCCTTGTTGATATACTATAGGTCAGCGATGATGAACCGATGGCACAAGTGCCACAGCTGGCATGCGGAGCTCTTTCTGTCAGCACGCAAGCCATAAGTCGCTGGATTGCTTCCCCCCCACAACTGCTAAACCTGAGCAGGCACTGCAAATGCGGTGCTGGTGCCCGGAAAGGCGGTGGGTCACGATCCGGAGCAGCTGGTGGTGGATCTGGAGTGGTATCTCGAGGCACCTCAGTGCCCGGGATTCCCCCTTCTGCCACCACTTCTGGTTCCACCGCCGGCACAGCACACCGCCCACTGTTCCCCTCCCAGTTTGGGCACGTGAGCTCAAAAAGGTTCATGACCACTGCTATAGGTAAAGGTAAAGGTTCCCCTTGACATTTAGCCCAGTCATGTCTGCCTCTAGGGCACGGTGCTCATTCCCAGTTTCCAAGCCATAGAGCCGGCGTTTGTCCGAAGACAGTTTCCATGGTCACGTGGCCAGTGCAACTAGACATGGAACACTGTTACCTTCCCACCGAGGTGGTCCCTATTTATCTGCTCTCATTTTTACATGCTTTCAAACTCCTGGGTTGGCAGGCGTTGGGACAAGTGACAGGAGCTCACTCCATTGTGTGGATTTGATCTCAGGACTGCTGGCCTTCCAACTTTGCAGCACAGAGGCTTCTGCGGTTTAACCCCCAGCGCCACCATGTCCCTTGCTGATATACTATAGTGACGTAGTAATTGATCCAGGTCTGATCTGATGTCAGCATACCATTGGGGTATCCTATCCTTAGTGAGTCCTATGCATTCAAGATGGGCTTCTGAACAGTGACCACTGACAATACCCCATTTATCAAAGATCATTGCGTTAGAAGTACAGTATCGTCAGTCTAGAACAGGAGTGGGTAACCATGTTTCTTCAGATGTTGTTAAACCTGAGTTCCTATTAGTCCCAGCCAGCAAGGCTAATGGCCAAGAGCACTGTAATCAACAATGTACAGGAGAGCCTCTGCATATGAAGTGGGAATAATGCACACTGTATGCACAGGTGGTTCTACAAAGCTTTAAATATATTAAATTTTAAAATATCTTTAAAATCTTTAAAATCTTTTATGTATAATATTATGTATTATGTATAAAATTAAAAATTTAAGTTAAAAATTTAAGTAAAATTTAACATCTTTAAATTTATGTAAATATAGCATATGTAATTATTGTTGTATGTAATTTGAGTTGATTATTGATTTGTGAAGGTATTCCATATTTCAAGGGAAGAGTAGCACACCCAGTTTGTATGCTAATATGCTTAGATGTTGCTTTAAAAATCAGAATATTTTCTCCATAGAATGCTTTGAGGAACAAAACGAGAGTGAATTTCCTCTCGTTTTGTTGTGTCAATTTTTCTGTCCTAAAAAATGAACAGTTTTCTTGCAACATGCAGTTGATGTTACTCATCCAAGTAGACCCACTGGAGTAATCGGAGCAGCCAGTAATTACCATTTCCTGCAGAGAGAGGCAGGAAATGGTGATTATTGACTGGTGCCTTCTTCTCATTGCTACTTTTGCACCACTGGCTTTTCTCTGGATACAAATGCTTATCATGTTGTCCATCTCAGTAAGTTTACTCAAGCTTATTGAGAACATCCAGATTCCTGGCTCTTCTAGAGAAGTGGGCTTTTAATCAATCCCTAAAGCCTTTTTACTGATAAGAATGTATTTAGCAAAGCAGAGGCAGAGCCTGATATATTTGCATGGCCACAAATCTAAACAAAGCTACTTTAATGCTTTAATGACTCCAATAAAGCTATTTTTGAAGTTCTGTTCCTCTAAAATAATTGTACAATTAGAAATGATTGTGTGCAGTGGAGGCTGTTGCCAGTGAGTGTGAGGATTTAAATTAAAAAATTGAACCTTCATCAGGGATGGGTTCCAACAGGCATCATTGTTTAACATGGCTGTGGTTTGTGCTCCAGCAAAAAGCATAGCTAAATGTTGACTAAATAGTCCAGACAGCTTTGTGATTAAGCTCTGGAATTATTCTGTCTAAAATTCCAATTGGATGTGACCTATTTTGCTGGAAGCTTTTGGAACTTGTTCTCTGAATATTTATCTTCTTATAGATAATAAATAAGAGGCATTCCAATTCAGACCAAAGGGCTTTTAACCCATTTCCCAATGTGGGCAGCTAGGTCCTTTGGGAAGAAAAAAAAGCAAAGCATGGGAAATGTTCTCTTCCTCCCCAGTGACTGTTTCAAGGACAAGCTGTTTCTAAACCTAGAAGTCCATCAGTTACAACAAAGTTGTTCAAAAGAGCAACTGTACCCATAGGAACCAGTATGGTATTATGCATGGAATGCTGGATTAGAACTTGGGTGGCCTAGTTTTGAATCCACACTGAAAACCTAGTGCAGAATGGTAATGGTAAACCACTTCTTGAATATCTCACATACTTTGGAAACTGTGTTAGAATCACCTGAAGTTGGACACAACTTGATGTTGGATATAACAATGGTTATATATGTAAAAAATCTTCCTGGACATTAAGATTGGTAAAGGCAGTGCCATCTTGTACAGTTTTCTTACCTCCTAGCCAAGGTTCATGATTATAAGTTCTCAGTTGCAGATCATAATTCCTATGAAGCTTGACAATGATTGTGTATGAGTATGGGCCTGAAAGGAGTGTGATTTCACCT